ATACACAGTAGCCAGCTATGGATCGACGATCGTCTGGACACGCAGCCCAGTCAGCATCACAGAATGCAGTCAGGTTGAGATCCTCACCTTTCTGTATTCTAAGTCCATAGTCTGATGTTCCCTTAACATATCTGAATACTCTTTTCAGTAAATTCCAGTGTGTGTCTGTTGGTTTCTGCAAGAATTGACTTAGTCTGTTCACAGCAAATGATAAGTCTGGCCTTGAGTGAACTAAGTATTGAAGAGCTCCAACAGAACTTCTGAAGAGTGTTGGATTACATAATTCCCTGCCTTCATTCTTTGAAACTAGTTTACCAGATATCATAGGAGATGTTACCGAATTTAGGTTGCTAAATCCGAATCTTTTTATAATATCAAGTGCATACTTGTTTTGTGAGAACACCAAACCATCTTCATCTCTTTTTATCTCTATTCCCAAAAATTTCTTCAATGTTCCCATGTCCTTGAGTGAGAATTTCTCATTTAGCTTGTCTATGAATTTCTGCAACTGCTCTTTGTTACTTCCTGTAACAATGATGTCATCGACATACACAAGTATGATAATGGTGGTATTTCCTTCAAGCTGATAATAGAGTGAATTATCAGCCTTTGATTGAATCATTCCCCACTCAGTTAATGTTCCTTTTAGTTCATCATTCCATGTTCTAGGAGCTTGTTTCAATCCATAGATTGCTTTCTTTAACTTACATACAAAATCAGGGAACCTGCTGTCTATGAAACCTTCAGGCTGAAACATATAGACCTCTTCATTAAGTTTTCCATTTAGAAATGCATTATTAACATCAATCTGTCTGATATCCCAGTTTTTAGTGACAGCAAGAGTCAGAATGATTTTAATGGTTGAAGCCTTGATCACTGGACTGAATGTCTCCTTGAAATCAACTCCATATGTTTGTAAGTACCCTTGAGCCACTAATCTGGCTTTATACCTTTCTATGTTTCCTTCACAGTCATATTTTAACTTGAAGATCCATTTACTCCCTATGACTTTGGTGGCTGTTTCTCGAGGAACCAATTCCCAGGTCAGATTTCTTTGTAGCGCCTCAAACTCTGCCTGCATTGCCCTTCTCCAGTTGTCATTACACAAAGCTTCTTTGACATTAGTTGGTTCTGAGATTTCAGCAGAATAGGCCTTTGGTTTAAAGATTCCAAGTTTTCCCCTAGTCATCATGTGATGTCCCGTATTTACCTCAGTACTAACTGTTGTTTCTGTTCTTCCTTCATTATCCACTCCTTC